TTTTCACAACTCATATTTTAAATCTTTTAGTCCCAGAATCAGTTATGAAGAGAGAGCAATTTTGGGTGAAAAGTTTGCAAATGTTTACAAATACAGATGCAATTTTTAACTTTAATATTTTTCACACAATGTATTTTGGTCATATCTTCCCCTCCTCCATCTCCTCCCAGACCCCCACCTCCTACCCACACAACTGCAGATTCTTTCTTCTTTCTTTCTTTCCAAAAAATAAACAAAACATGAAAATCAAACAAAAACCTAATAAGACAAAAAATACCAAAGCAAAATACAATGAAACAACAGCAACAACAACAGTCCATTTTGTATTGGCCACTGCTCCAGGGCATGGGCCTGCCCTGGGCCTAGTGTCTCTTTAGTGGAGAAAACTGATTTTCCTTTTCTCTCCAAGTAGCAATTGCAAATAGTTTCTTGGTTAGGGATAGAACTTTTTGTCCACTTTCCCCTCTCTGTGCTGGGTTTTTGTCTAGTTTGAAGCTGTACATGTTTTATGCATGCTGTCACAGTCTCTATGAGTTCATGTGTATCAGTCCCATTGAAGACAGTATAGTTTTATGATACACTTTTATAAGAAAAATGTTCAGAATAATGTGCTCTAACATAACAGCAAAGCTTCCAAGAACTTTCCCAAAAGTGCTGAGTAAATGATCATGTCTTACTTCATGAACCAAGGTAGGTTAGGAAAAGAGAGGGGTCAGCTGGTGGCAGGAATGATGACCTACAGGGTATCATATTCAGTTCAGAGCTGAGCTGAATACTGATGTTGGTACTTATCCTTGGGCATCATCAGGCTCTTTATTCTCCCTAACCCCAATTTCTTAAAACATGATAATAATTCCATTTATAATGTGACTTTGGAGTCCAGGACAGTGAATTCAGGAGCACACTTCATACCAGTTGGTAGGAATGATGGTCCATTTTGATTGTCCCTTCAATTGGGCTAACAAGCATGTAGATTAGTGTGTTTATAAGGGTATTTCTAGAGACAGGAAGATCAAGAGGACTCTGCCCTAATAAATGGCTCCAACAGAACAAAATATATCCTCAGAGAAGTTACCTCTGTATAAGGGTCACAGTGGTGAAAAGTAAACGATGTGACAGCTTGGGCTCAGCTCAGGCAGAACTCCAACTAAAAAGAAGGATTGCTATCAGGTAAGCAGAAGCCTAAACTTAGACTTCCTCAAAAATCTTGTGAAGCTGGGTCCTGTTTGTCAAGAAAGCAATTACTTCCCTTATGCACAGGCAAGAGTCAAATACCTAGCATTCTAGCCCAGTTAAGGTGGGAAGACAATACAGACTCCATCGTAGGAGAGGGCCACCACCTTAGAGCATCTGCTGTACTCAGGTCCGGGAAGGACCTCAGTAATATGCAATGACAACTCTAACAGATACAGGGCAGTATGCTCCTGCAGACATTCTGTCTGCGGTTTACGGCCCTTGAAGATATCTAGATAATTCTGCTGAGCAGCCCAGATAATCCTGCCTAGCAAGTTGTGGTTCTCCTCTAAAAAGTCTAACCCAATGGTTTCAAATGTGATTTTGCACCCAAAGTCTAGACCAATAGTTTCAAAAAAATCACCTTGCCCCATATCCCTTCTACCCAATCCCAAGTGGCCAAAGCATGTAATTCCTAGCTTGCAGCATTTCTCTTTAAAAGCTCTCAACCCTGGGACCTGCTGCCACCACCACATTTCCCTCCATCTGCCTGGTGGAGGCCCAGGTAGGAACTTGACAATAAAAGGACCCTTAAGTGCTTACATCAGAAACCAGTTCCTTGGCGGTCTCTGGGTGTTTCTTGAAAAGTGTACAACACAGGTTTCCCATGCTCCGCCCCCAGGATCTTCCCTGCTACTCTAGCTCACAGGCTGTTCTAGCTCATATACTCCTCCTCCTGCCGTTGTCTATCCCCATAAAATTGCTGAAGCTCTCCTTGCTGCCTGTTGCACACTGCACTGCCCCAGCCTGGCAGTTTGAATCCCCAAATAAACTGTCTTTCTACTCATGGAGTGGTCTAGTTCATGGTGTTATTGCACCCTCATTTATATCCTGCGAATGAAACAATACCTGCCAGAAGCCTAAAAAGATCCTGTTGGTCAAGGCAGTGATGGTCAGAAGTGTGCTTATATTTTTATTTCTGGAAGTGCAGGCCAGTGTCTACATTAAAAATCATGCATTTAGTGGATTTGCTTAAAACACTGGGAAGAGGCTTGATTAGCTTTTCAAGTAAATGAAAGGCTGAATCTGGGATGCACTTTTGCCCAGTATGAAACTATGAAAGCCTGGGGTAAGCTACTAACTTATCCAAGAACCAGCCATCTCATCATTTTCATTGGATATAGTGATATCCAATTGAGAATTTTCTAAGTGTACAAAGCATCATTGACTGTGAATGACAGTGTGGACAGTTATTAGCAAGATCAATCTGCTTACTGTATGTTGTCCTCTGGTGAACTAAAAGAAACAGAAGGCACTACTTGCAGACCACAATGAAGTGGGTGTAATGTGTGGAAAGACACATAGAAAACATTAGTAGTGAAATCCTTATGTGCTAGAACAAGTTAATTTTTGAATTCATCCATCCCTTTCTTTTCATACAGGACTTTGGATCCAGTAACAGCATGTTAGTCATAGTGTGAGACCAAAATGAGCCATCTTAGAAATAAGACCAAAATGCTTTCACCCTAAAACTAAGGCCCAAGATTTCTCCTTTTAGGAATAGGTCATTAGTTACTGAAACCAGTCAGTCCAGATTCCAGAAACCAGGAAGTGTAAAAGTACAGAGTCACAAGGTAGTCATGAGGTAATGACTGTCGGACTATGGAATGTCCTCTCCCTGGTTTCCAGGGTAACTGACCACAGAAATGTCCCCACATGAGGGCAGCCAATGAGAAATGGTGGCAGGCAACCACCCCCTTAGAAGATTAAGCCATGATTTCTAGAAAGACCCTAGAAGCGAGCCAATCAGAACTGTACCGATACTAGCATCCCTAAATGATGTAACCTTGTGGTTTTTGCCTTTAAAAACTGAGCTTGCAAGAGGTGGGCACTTCCTCCAGCCTCCACTGCATTGGATATATTGGATGAAGTCCCTGCCTAGGCTTGTATTGCTTTTGGATATCCAGAATTAAACCTTGCTTTTGCATTCCAGCAAGATCGTCTTTGGTGGTCTTACTGGGGGTCGAGATCTGGGCACAACAATAGTTCTAACAACCTCAGGACTTTTCTATGGAATGATGATAGATAGAAAATGACTATAGAAAATGTCCTTATTGATTTTACATCTTATTACACCTGTAATATACTGAGCACAGTTGCATTGCTTTGGTGCAAGACATATTTGTATTGTTAAACAAATTATATCCAATAGAAACCTGAATCCATTCCCCTCTGCTTGTTAAATCTCCAGGGGAGGAGATAGGGATGGAAAATGAGGCTCCAGGTCTATGATGTAGAAACTCTACTGCTGAATCACACCCAGCCTTGAAATTCAGCCTTTCTTTGCATAGCAAAAGCTGCTACTGGAAATTAGAATCACAAAGCCTTGATTGTTACATTGGGAATTTCTGTCCCACTTTCCTGGACTTTTTGTCTTTAGTCATCTGGCTTCTTGCACCTTCTCTGATGCTGGTGGATGTTTCCCCTCTAAGATCTGTACTCGTGGTTCCCCTGACTGTCCTGTCTTTACCAAACTGTCTCAACTAATTTGGAACTCACACTTTGCCAGGAAATTGAAAATGGTTAGCAAACTCTCACTGTTTCCACAGGAGTTAGGACTGTGGGGGGTCCAAAACAGCTTGACCACACAGCTGCCATGACAGGCTTAGGGGCCCAGACATAGCTTCTGTGACAGGCTTACTGGCAGGCAACACCTGAATCTAGGAAAAGCCATGAGCTAACACCACCCAGTGATCCACCCAGGGATGGGCCTACATCCCTGGTAATTCCCTAAGGGGAATTACCTAACATCCTAAACATTCCAGTCCTTAGATAGGTCTAGGTAAGATCACCAGAAGTCCTTGAGCCTAGCACAAACCTATTTCATCATTTTACCAAGAAACCCCTAGACAAATGTCAGTCAATCAGGGTCCTAAACCCTTACTCCCACCTCTGCTATGATAAAAAAAAAAAAAAAAAAAAAAAAAAAAAAAAAAAAAAAAAAAACCCTACCCCGCCCAGGTTCAGAGCCCTCTGCTCTCATAACTGCATCGGACAAAGAGACCAAACTTGAACTTGAATAAACTCTTTGCTTTTACACATGGGATTCAGTCTCCATGGTGGTCTTTCCAGGGTCCCCACCTCCTGGATATAACAATACATTTACGTGTCATAAAACCTATCATTTGTCTCACGGTCCCCACTAAACTGAACTGAAGACCTCAGAAAGTGAATTGTCTTCAGTGTGCTCTGATCAGAAATCTGTGATAAGAAAGGATGGATCTTGCACACTATTCCTTCCTGTGTTTCAGTAGGATTGGTACAATTCTATGACAAATTGTTGTCATGAACTGTAGCTACTACTTTCTGATAGGCAGTCCCCACTTGGTAAGATTCTGACTGAGCAGCTCTGCATCATATAAGCTGCTTTCCCAGAACACATCACATGAGCATCTCCATGTGCTCTATGAAAGCGAACCCAAGTTTAGCCCAGCTGCCTCTGGGATCCAGACTTCCCTTCAGTTAATTTAACTTCATTGTGTGAATTTTACATTACCTATAGGGACAACCAGATCTAAGAGATGTGGAAGTTTGGCCAAAAACTTGAAAATAGAGAATGCTGATTACTTAGATAAGAACACAAAAGCATAATAGGTAGTCTAGAATTATTGACAGTTTTTTCAACCTAGCTTGCATTATGCAAGCTATATTCAGGACTTCCAGCAGTTTGTTATCAGGGTAGGACTCCCCAGCTGCTGCTCCATAGACCGTCTTAGGGACGGTGACATCTGTCTTCATAAATTAACCCAATAAATATCACAGCAAAATTCATTATCAATTTTTATTTCCTACCATACACCAAATGTACAGCACTGAACACAATTTTGTCGCATTGATATAAGAAATATTGTTTGGAGAAACAGTATACAAACAAACTACTTCAAATAAAAATGCATACATCATTGTTTGTTTTGTTTACAAAAGACCCAATTTACAGTATCAATCATTAACATAGTTGAAATGAAAACAATTTAGTGCATGTTACAAAACACAAATACCAAGGAGGCAAATAAATATAGACACACTTCATAAAACTATGTGAACACAAATAAATTAACTGAAGCCATGTAAATTATAGTAATAAATACATAAGTTTGTAAGAGATCTCTTTAAATAAAATATATAACAAACTTGTTAAAATATTTAGCAAAGTAAACTTCTGTGTAATAAGTGAGTCCGTTTGTGTGCTTCTTTGAAGTACTATGTAGCAAATGTTCAAAGACATACTTTAATAGGAAATTTTGTGTCCCATTTTTAGTAGACACCACTCATGGTAGCTGCTTTTTTTAAATTGAGTTTTAAATAAACACCTTCCCTACCTAAGAACAGACATCTCATTTTCACTAAACTAAAATTCAAGAGTTCAAATGAACCCCAAGCCAAAGATAAGCTCCACTTGATGCATAACAAAAACCACAGTTCCATGAGAGTGGAGTGACTGGACCACTTTTCATGTATCTGAGCAGTAACAGTAGTAACAGTGAATTCAAGCCTGTGAATGCCATCACACTAAATCTAAATATCCATGAGGCTAATAAAAAATAAACACTTTTATTATAGCACAGAAAATTAAGCCCACACTAAAGTTCATGTGTACATTTACACAGAGGCACATCTGCACATGAAATGTGTGTGCACACCAAAAAGGCAGTTTAGCTGGTTGTCTATACCTTTTCCTTAAAAAAAATAAGTTTTAAAAAACTTTTGAAACAATGCTTAAACTACTTTACAGTCCCTGAAATAGACATTGCCTTTACTATAGCAATTACTAAACTCTGATCCAGTTGAGATTGTAGACTCAATTTCATGTGTGGATGAGTGTTTGTGAGTGCATATGTGTATGGACTGTGCCTGTGTGTGTGTGTGTGTGTGTGTGTGTGTGTGTGTGTGTGTGTGTGTGTAGTTCAAGAGTTACATCAAATTTAAATTTGTTTTATTTCCTAGGGAAGTGCAGACCAATGTTGCCAATATTCAGACTGGAATAACACTTTTTCATGTCTTATTATGTTTTCTACTCTTCTAGTCAACCCAGTAAGATAAATGCTATTTCAGGGGATATGGTATCTACAAAATTTGCATTCGGATGTGTCTGTATTTCCTAAGGACAATTCTATACCAATATTGTCACTTGTGATATTGTACTAATATACAGCAGGAAAAGCCTGGCTGGTCACATCAAAGCTTATTTCTCATCTTGGGGAAGGGTTGCCAACTAGCCAATGTGATTTGAAAAACAAAAAGACAAATCTGATTCACTTAAAATCTATGCTTTAAATAGCTCAAATAAATAATTCATATTAATTAAATCCGTGCAGCCACGTGGAATACTCTGCTGACTATTTTATTTAATTATTGCTATCAAGTTCTGAGCACGATGTTTGCCAGCATCCTATGCTTTTATGAATGTGGGTCTCCCACCAGTGGGCACCATTTATCTTCACATTCCTTTGCAGCTCACATTACCAAAAACCATTTACAAAACCAGTAAAGGGGGAAAAGAAGCGCACAGTAGAAACCAGACTTGACCGTAGTGCGGTCCTGACACGGGGATTTCCTTCACACTTTTTTTTTTCCATTTAAACCCAGAAAGATGTATGATTTGAGAACAGCATTTCTATTTAAATCCTATTAGAAGATAAATTAATAAACACACCTGTAAAAATATGGTAGACTTCAAAATGCAGTTAAAAGATAAAAAACTCTTTGATTAGTAATAAATAAAATATAAAATGTCACATTTATTTTACATATACTTTACAAAATAAAGAGTGCAATGAAGAAATAAAAGAAAAAGGTATGAAAATAAATGAGATTTAATAATTGACTGCATTGCTTTTAATCCAAAGAGTTTATCATAGTTTTTTTTTTTCCTTTTTATGTCAGTTGGGGAAAAATTAGTGCAATGTTGCAATTATAATTGCAGGGGGCAGTCTCCAGGCTCCAGGTTTGCAGGCCCCTGTGGATCAGCTGGAACTCACTGCTGTGGTGACCTCTGCTTCCTGCATGCTGCCCTCCTACACGTGGATGCCCTTCACCGCCTGCTTGATGCTTTCCAGCAGAGCTTTGCATTCTGGGGAATAGTCCCGTTCCAGATTGCTGTACATGTCTGTGAGAGTATTTACATATGCTTCAAAATTCTGCTCATTGATAGGCCCCTGATGGAGACAAAGCACATGGAACCAATCACAGAGGTTCAGCTGCCCCAAGGAAGATCAGGAGACAGTGAAGAATGTTGTCAACATGTATAAGTAGGAAGAGACGGGTTTATATGGCTGTGGCAGTTTGGGATAGGACATCCAAATGCTAGTGTTTGTAGGGTTTATCTGTTCACTCTTCATTCATGGCATTAATGAAACTTGATTGAATGGTATTGAGGGTCAATCTGGAGCCATATAACGAATGCATCTAGCTGCTGAGCTTAGATGTCTCCAAACAACATGCCTTCTCTGGGAGGAGTCTTGGCCTCAATTACACTTGCTCAGTATAAAAACAGCGTCTGTGGAAGGTATGTGCAGGGGATGAAGGTTTGCTTGTGCCAAGTGGTTCTTTAACAGTTCTAGGTTGGAATGGCAGGGATTTTAGCCTTAAGCCAGTTGCTCACTAACAGTTGTGATAGAGATTTTATAGTATGATACTGTTCATTTCTCCCTCTCTATTTTTTTTAAGGGAGAATATCAGTGTTAGAAGGTCCAGACTGACTCATCTTCACCATGGGTGGTATTTTGGCATCTTCTTTGCCCAATATAATGGTCCTATCATCTATCTATCTATCTATCTATCTATCTATCTATCTATCTATCTATCTATCTATCTATCATCTATCTATCTATCATCATCATCTATCTATTTATTTTTGAGACAAGGTCTCATTTTGTTATCTTGGCTGGCATGGAACTCTCCATGTAGACTAGGCTGACCTTAAACACCCAGAAGTCTGTCTGCCTCTGCCTCCCAAGTGCTAGGATTAAAGGGGAGTGCCACCATGCTGGGAAACACACACACACACACACACACACATACACATACATACATACACACACACACATAATATGTATATGGTATATGGATGCTTTGCATGTATATTTGTGCACTACACATGTGCTTTGTGCCTGTGGAGGCCAGAAGTGGGTGTTACATACCTTGGAACTGGAGTGACAGCCAGTTCTGAGCCACTAGGCTGGAACTGGGAATGGCACCTGGGTCTTCTGGAAGGTTAACCAGTGCTCTTAACTGCTGAGCTTTCTCTCCAGTCCCATAATGTGTTTTAAAGTGGGCACTTACTAGCTGTGTGTAAACTGCATACATAAGAGGCAGGACATACATGACAAAAGGGAACACTCTCCAGCCATGTATGGTACCTCCATGTTCCCATCTTTTTGAAAACCCATGGTAAGTGCTACATTACATTACAAGGTGCTTGGAAGGACAGACTTAAAAATGAGTAAACAGCTCAAGTGGAGAGAGAATTACTATAATCGTTACTGTTTAGAGGGTAAGCTTTCTAGATCTGAAGACAATTTGATATGCCCAGCAGAGTTCTGATCTGGAATATGTGCATTGTCTAGTTGTGATTGTTCCCATTTAGTTTCTACCTCTGCTGTGTATGTATTTCTTACAGAATTATGTAATGGGACAGAGACTCTGGTGGCATGGTGGGTTAAAGGCCACATCAGGAAGTTCATTGTCCCACAAATTCCTGACTCATGCCATCTTTGAGTCTTGACCCAATGATGGATGCTGAGCCGTGACTTGGCTACGGTTGGGAATCTTAAGTGTTTAGTGCCCTGGGAGCTTTCATGTGATCAGGCCTGCAGTCACTGCTACAGCATCTCAGGGGGTCCCTGGATGGTAGTAGACACAAGTTATCTTGTCAGTAAATTCTGTGGCACTGACAACAAAGAAAATACTAAGAAATACACATTTGAAGAAGGAACTAAAAAGACAGGCAAAAGGAAGATGATAATATTCTCCTTGACAGTACCCAAAGTTAAAATCTTGATTTTTTTTTGGTGGGGGGCAGGGGTTAAGAAACATTTGGAATTGGGTGAGACAAAGACTTCAGTTGGAAAGTTGAATAAATTGAGCAATTTAATATTTTGAGCAAAACCCAGTTATATTTTTATTACATTGCTGATGCTTTAAGTCCTTTTATATGTAAACTAGCAGTTTTGGTTTAAGAATATAGGCTCTGAGGAAATTAACAGCATTCAGCAATATCCCCCTCAACAATGCAGCTCTATCTCCAAAGATTGATTTATATTTATAAAAATGTAGAATAAACTTTGTGAATTCTAAATAGTTGCATGCTTAGGTTTTAGAAATAATGATGCCTAATTACACCCATGGGTAGAAGTTGAGCATTAAAAGTTTATTGGGAATGGAGCTATTTATTTTATAATTCATAAGTTGGGTGGATGATGCTGAGGGCTGCATAGAATCTTCTTTTTTTGGAAACATATTTTCAGTGAGTGAGCATGCTGGCCTTTCAACTTTCATATAACTTTATGAAATACCTTCAAGCAAACCTTCATTTTAAAGGACCCTAGCCTTTTGAAATGTCACTGGTCTTCATTAATCTGAGTGTGTCTACCATGTTCTCAGATGGGGAGATCACTGATCATGAGAATGCATCCAGGGTAGGTGACTGCTGACAGCTCAGCCATAGGGTAATGACACTGAGGTGGATGGCAGGACAGCAGAGCCTTGCTCTGGGTCTTACCATCTGTGGCAGCTGGATGTCAGCAAGGCTGGAGATGAGAGCCTGGCTGAGCCCTGCCAGTTCCTTCAGCAGACTCTCATTGCTCTGTTCTATAAGCTTGTTCTCCTCCTCTATGCTCTTCAAGTTGCTCTCCATAGATGTTATCTAAAACAGAGGTAACGACATGAGAAGCAGAGCTTGAGGCCTATGCAAGGCCTCAAGGGAAAACCTGTGGCTGGGTATGTGTCAAACTGTAGCCCTGCCTACTGCTCTAAGTGTTGGATTCACACCTTCAGATTTGTACTTTCAACACAGTCTTTTCCATGACTTGCAGGTCTAGCTTCTCTACATGGCTAGATGGTAGATATCTCAAAGGCCTTAGAGTAAATCTGCTATTTTCCCCAATCCTGTTCCAGCTACATGCCTCTTCTTTGTAGTGGATGACTACCTGAAAGTTTCCCAGACTCAGAGTTCTTCCTCTCATACTTCAAACTCACTGAGCGCTTCTTTTAAAATACACAAGATAAGGCCACTGTCCACCAGTGTTGTGGTCACCTGGACCCATCCATTGGTATGATGGTATCATTTCTCATGGGTAACCTTGTGTCAGCTTTGCTCTGTATAGTCTCTTCTTGGTCTTCTTCAATACACTAATAAAATGAGTCTTTTGAAGGTCAAATTAGAATGTATGTCAAGATGACTGAATTACTCTCAAGTCTCAAACCCTTCAGGGCCCCCTCAATCCATCAAAGTAAATGCCAAGATAATCAACATTGACTAGGTTGTACTATGTGAACAGCCCAGTGTCATCTCTAGTACCCTTCTGTAACTTGCCCTACCCAGTTAGACTACCTCCAGATATAATCCCCACCACTGTTGGCTAACTCCTCCATTTCTCAAATCATTGCTGAAAAATTTCTTTCTTCTTGGGGCTTGGCCATCCTGTTTAACATCAACCCGCACTTTTTATAACAGCAGATTAGACACACACACACACACACACACACACACACACACACACACACACACACATACACACACACACACACACACACAAAAAAAAAAAGATTATTGTCTGTCTTCCCCACTTAGATTAAGCTCCATTTGGTTTCAAGAGGAGTCTCATACTTTCTGAATGGAAGCATCAAGCTCTTTCTATGGACTTCTGGGGCATTCAGAAGGTGAGATGAAGCAACTATTTCATATGGATTAGACTGCTTAGGTGAGGACTCCTGAGAGATGGGATGAAGCTTGCATTTTAGGAGTGGGGAAGGAAAAGAAATGGGAAAGGCAGGATAAAGGGCCCTCTACCCTGCATTATCTTACTTCTCCACTTCTAACTTGTTGCAATGCAGTTATTTTTGCTTTTTGAGATCCTCAGGATTTAATCTAGAGTCTTTTACATGGGTGGGCAAACAATCTATCACCAAAGTACATCCTTAATAACAGAATTTGTGTTAACATCTTAAAAATCCTGGACTGAATTTTTAATTCACAGTGGTCTAGGATTAGACACTGCTTGGAAGTTTTAATCTTTTTTTTGAGACAGGGTTTCTCTGTGTAGCTTTGTGCCTTTCCTGGAACTCACTCTGTAGCCCAGGCTGGCCTAGAACTCACAGAGATCCACCTGGCTCTGCCTCTCGAGTACTGGGATTAAAGGCATGTGCCACCACTGCCTGGCTGAGTTTTTCATTTTTTTTTAAATGAAATATCTGTACAAGAAGATCTACTTTTAGCACATACAGAAATATTCTAGAAGAATTACGTTTAAAGAGTGTGATGTTGTACGTGCATTTTTTAATAAAATGAAGGACCCTTAATCTTTGTGACATGATTCACTACAAAGTACCATGTGCTCTACAGGAGTCTGTATGGTCATCTACTTTATTTGTCCACAAAGTGGTTCTTCTGTGTCAGCTAGGTGAAGGCAGGAGTAACTCTTCCCACCCGTGCTGAGTCAGCAGACACAGTCATGAGCCACTAATGAGAAATGACTTTCTCTAGGGTATCAGCACAGCTTCAGATGCAAGATCAGGAAGCTCAATGTTTTATTGATTCTATTCACTAGAGATTATCATTATTTTAGAAATAACTAATTAGCATTTTTTAACCTGGGTCTGAAGTTTCATCATATCTGCTTCAATTTTAAGGTTGGATTCATTCAGTTCCTTTATTTCTTCATCCAAATGCCTAATTTCTTCATCACCATCAATACCTGTAAAGAGTCAACAGTTCACATTGAAAACAGGAGACAAGGCCCAGTCATGGGTTATTTTATGTTTAAATATAAGAATAGTTTTGGAATTTAATGGTCTCTAAGAAAATGAATTACAAAAGCAGCAGCTTTCAGGTGGCTCTACTGTGTTCCAGAGGACCTGGTAAGCCCTCGTTTGTAGTCAATACATGCATGAACTGTAGGGAAAAGGGGCTGGCTAAAGAAACCCACCCTGGCCCTGGAGCCCAGAACCAGGGAAACACAGGCTGGGTCTGGGACCTGTGCCAGAGAAATGAACACTTTATCCACAAACCCAGAAACAAGGAAATATGCCCTGACTCTGAAACCAGTACC